TAAAAAATAATATTGTATTATAATTTAATTATTTATCATAAATCTAAAATATATTTTATATATTTAAAACATCTATTTATATGAATTTTAAATATAACTTATATATTATAATATAATACTTATTTGTATATATGATTTATTATATATAATAAATATTTAACTTAAACATTCTGTAGGCTAAAATACTAATTGTAATAAAAAAAAGTACTATAAATATCCATTTATCAACAACAATAATAATAAGAATAAGAAGCACCATTTAGATCTTTTTTTCAATATTAAAAAATGATGTGCATGAAAAATAACAACAAGATGAGACATGGTCAATGCGAATTTCAATATCTTCATCTCTATTTTCAAGTTCATACCCTATACTCATTTTTATCTCTATATTTAATGGGTATGAGATTTGTGTCTCATTCCCATCCTTGTTAAGTATTGCATAAATGTGTCTCTCTAAAAATTAATTAAATATTTTTTAAAAAAAAAAATATAAAAAATTCTAACATGATGTAGAAATTATAAAGCTATATTGATTAAATTTCATTCAACATAAATTTAAAATTGAATAAGAATTATACAAATATCAATTAAATTCTAAAAAAATTAAATTAAATATTTTGATATTTAAAGTGGGAATATATATATATATATATATATATATATGAATACAAATACGAGACAAATAAATATATACCTATTCTTGTTCATATATTTAATTTAATAAATTAAATATTACTATATATGTATTGATCTCTACTCAAATTGAGAAAAAAAATAGTATTAGACACATATAAAGATTTATTTGGTATAGGTTTGTTATCCTATACTAACTTAATGTTCAACGGTCAAATTAACTTCACTTTAGAGATATGTCAAAGGTCAAATTAACTTTACTTTTTTTTTTCTTACAAAATTAACTCTACTATAGTAACAAGTCCATTTGTATAAATAATTTGTAAAAGTGTTGCAATTCGGTCAATCATAATAGCGTATGCTACGTGAACAACACCACGTAGATCTTCTTTTCAAATTTCGAAAAAGAAAAAACATAACATGGCATAAAAAATATTAAATTGATTAACGTTTTATTGATTCAACAGTCAAAAGGCTCAAAAAAGAATATTAATTTGATTAACTTTTTATAGATTAAACAGTCAAAACAACCACAATTTAATACTTCCTGCTAAAATAATTGTCACAAAGTAATTATCATTTTAACTTTTTAAGTAACTTAATTATGTTTTTTTATTTAAACCCTTAATAAAGTTATTTCTCATATTTATTATTTTTTGGTAAAATTGAATAAAATTAATTGATTAAAATTATCACAATTTATTATTTTTTTCTCGTTATGTATAAAGCACTCAAAATTGGCAATCATTTTGAGACAAATGGAATAATATATTTAAAAACAAATCCATTTTTGACAAGGACGGAGCCAAGGGGGGACCTACGGGTGCCACGGCCCCCCCAACAATTTTAATTTTTTTTTATATACATATATATTACTATATGGCACCCCCTATTTTTAATATAAACTCATATTTTTAATATAAACTCATATGTATATTACTATATGGCACCCCCTATATGGCACCCCCAGTATTGAAATCCTGGCTCCGTCCCTGATTTTTGATAAATAGTTTCTACAAGTGTCGCGAATTCGGTCAATATTAACCCAAAGTTCTTTTAAAAGAAATTAACCCATTTTTTAAGATATGTAATATGAGTAATTTCTCGTATGTAGATCGAGGTAGGGATTCAAACTTCATCATTACAATGAAGGAGTCTAAAGACTTGAGCCATTTGAACTTCCAGCTCCTTGGTGTATAGCATATTTCCCACTCATATATCTCTAAAACTACCAGAGTATGCACCTTACTTCAATTATTCTTATTATTCTATTTTATTTTATCATTTTGTACACTTTGCTTTTATACTTTGTTTTTTTGTAATGAGCTTCTTTGTTCTCTTTCTGTCCCTATATTTGTTGTGCAATTTAACATTTTGTAAAAAGTTTAGAAAGCTATATCTAAGTCAAGCATTTTTCTTATTGCAAAACTCTTATGACTTTAAGCAGTGAGTTACGATAGCTTGGTGACTTGATCATGTTTCAATTGCCTCCACTACCCCAGTAAAATTTGCAAGTTGAAATTTTCTAAATAACAAGACTCATGTCATTGTCAGTAACAATCTCACCATTAATATTGTCATCAAAGTAGTGCGTTGTATCGTTCATCGTACGGTATGTTTATAGCCACAAACCAACACAGTCGTCACCTTTTGAATATTCTTGCTTGACATTTTCTAAATAACAAGACCTCATGTCATCATCAGTGACAATCTAACCATTAATATTGCCACCAAAGTTGTTCATTGAATAGTGGATAGTACTTAGGGATGGCAAAAATATCTGCATTCATGCGTATTTGCGGGTAAAATTCGTTATAGATAATAAATTGATAGGTTAATTGGGTACCCGTGAATAATGGGTATGATTTTTTACCCGTTTATAAACTGGGCGAGGGCAGGTATAATGATATTTATACCCGCGGATACCCGTTTAATAATATTTCTTAAATATCATAATTATCCTTGTATCACATAACCTTAAAACTACACTCTCACATCTTTGTGATATGAGACTTTCACTTACTGGTGAGATTAATGTATTTTAAGTTATTGATTATCTTGTATTTTTAGGGTTTCTCATAGGAATACTAAAAATTTACAATTACAAACCAAACACAGACACTACTTATACATACATACTAATTACATCAATTAGAACATTCAAAGAGAAACAAAGAAGAAAAAGATACATTTGGGGAAAAGTCCTCACACATAGACATACAACAGAGGTAGGATTGGGGATTAATCTCACTACCCAACATACATTCTCACACCCAGAGCAAGGTTTCTCACTCTCCCTTACTTTGTTGAGCAGAAAAAGATGGATGATCAACTCCGAGGTAGTTTCCTCCTCTTTAAGTTATCTCAGCTCTGTAGCGTAAACGCGTAAATGAAAAAAATGTAAAACTTAAAAACTGATCAACTCTCTTTTCTTAAAAAAAAAAAAATTACCTCCCTTTAACCCTTTAGTTAAAAACGCCAACCATAATTATTCCAATAATCTTTTTCCTCATTTAATAAATAATTAAATAATATAACCTTTAATTATAAAACCTCACAATATATTCATATAAAAATAATTATAAATTATAAATAGTTACTAAAATAAACATATTTAATCATTAATTTATAAATATAATAATTAATAATAAAATAGACATTAATTAGCTGTCATTTATAAAAATTCAAATATCAAAATTATTAATAAAATATCTATATTATATTTTTATATATATATATATATATATATATATATATATATATATATATATCACTCTTTTAAAGGCAAATATATTTGAATTACAATAATTACACCAATAAATTTGGTGAGTATATTTTTATTATAATAATTTAGATGTTAACGTGGTTTAAAACAAAATTTGTATCCCCGTGAATTAAGTAGATAATTTTTCTATGTAAAAAAAGTTGTCTATTCCGTGTGTGTCATATTTTATTTTTTTTAATAATTTTTATTTTAATTAATAATTTGATATATACATATCAAAGAAACGAAAATTTGTTCATGTAAAAGAAAATATTGAATACGTTAATTGTGAGAAAATAATATATAATTTATAACCAAAAAAAATAATTTATGAATGAGATCAAATAATATCAGTGTAACTTTTGTTGTCACACCCTCTACTCCATAACACAAATAACAAAATGTGAATAACATAATCATTTATAATTAAATACGAAATATGTTTAGATAGAGAGCACCACAATCATAAACTTGAACAAAATAACATTATTAGTGAAAATTACAAGAAAAAAACTAAGGTTTTCGAAATATATTAATAGCAACAACATCCTAATTTAATCCTATCTATGCCCGATATCAAATGTCCTATCAGAGCAAAGCCCAATATTAAAGCCTAAGCTTCATCACCAACATCCTCAGTCTCATGTTGATGATCCCTTGCATAACAACCAAAAGAAAACAATACAAAAGAAAAGCGAGTGAGAAATATCTCACTTTGGCTCACGGTGTAGAAATGTTCATTGGATAGCCAAACATAAACATTATCTTATCACATTATCATGTCTCATTATCATATAATCTCATCATGTCATTTCAAACATATCAATTTATCTCACTTCGTATAATCATCAAGTGTATTCATTTAAGGATAAAATTGAATAACACAAGAAATTCACATCACTACTAATCATAGATCACAAGAGAGAAGTAACATAAGATTCACATTATACAAATAGAATTCATCAAATAAAGAAGGAAAGAAGCATAACAGGGCAACTAGCGTTCAGCCCCAAATTGGATGCTCATTGCAAGGATTCCAAAGAGTAACCCTAACTCTCTAGTTGGGCCATGCTCAGCATGAGGCTCATGCTCAACTTGAGGGTCACAAACAGCACTGTTAACTCTCTGCTTGACGCTTAGCACCAAACCATCAATCTTCTCACATGGTGAAAGTATTTTAAATCATGCAATAAACATTAAAAACAATACAATTTACTCATACAATTACATCTTTAAAAAAAATCCTCTCATATAGCTACTAATGTATTCCCTTAGGGTTTCTCATAGGAATACTAAAAATTTACAATTACAAACCAAACACAGACACTACTTATACATACATACTAATTACATCAATTAGAACATTCAAAGAGAAACAAAGAAGAAAAAGATACATTTGGGGAAAAGTCCTCACACATAGACATACAGAAGGGTAGGTATTCAAGAAATTCATGGATACTCGCTTAATGGATATTCGCACGGATATGAAGTGAGTATGGGAGCTAATTTTCATCTAGCAAGGCTGTGACGGATTTACTATTACTTGCTTCCACGGGGTCCATTGGCACCCTAATCGTACTGTATAGTTAGTCATAACCACAAACCAACACATTCATCACTTTTTGAATTTTCATGACCTTGACTACATGCAGCACTCCTTGGAAGGTTTCTCTCTTCCCCCTTTGGTTTTAACTAACCATAGGCACTAGGATCAACACCACACTTGGTCAGGATAGGCATCAGAATAGCACCACAACCACTTTGTTTAAGAAAGAAACCGTACCAAAATCAATGCAAAGCTTTGAAATGCTTGGTGTGTGCATTTTGTTTCTCTCCTTGATAACCATGTCCTCCACGTTGGACATGACTACTCCAACCCAAGCCGTCATCAAAGATGGTAAGAATGAAAATGAAACTCTTGTTTCAACAAAAGGAACCTTTGAAGCAGGTTTCTTCACCCCAGGAAATTCAAACAACCGTTACCTCGGAATTTGGTACAAAAACATATCTCCCATAACAGTTGTTTGGGTAGCCAACAAAGGAGCACCACTAAATGACTACTCTGGAGTCTTAGAATTAGATGGTGATCAAGGCCTTCTTAGTATCAAGGATGGTACAGGAGCAACAATATGGTCCTCAAACGCATCGTTGGCACAACCAAACAAACCAGTTGTGGTGCAGCTGTTGGAATCAGGAAACATGGTTGTGAAAGATGGACTTAAAAACCTTGTGTGGCAAAGCTTTGATTACCCTGATGACACTTTACTTCCAGGAATGAAACTTGGAAGGGACTTAAAAACGGGTCAGAATCGCACTCTTAGATCATGGAAATCCTGGGAAGATCCTACTCCAGGTAAATTTTCATTTGGTGTTGATACTCATGGCCTTCCTCAATTAGTTATTACAAATGAGGACAGTAAGAAAACAGCATATAGAGCAGGGTCATGGAATGGCCTTAGTGTCACAGGACTACCCGAAGAAATAACTGACCAATTCACCAAATCCCTTTTTGTTATGAATCAACAAGGGGTCTTCTATGAGATTCAATCCTTGAATAGTTCAACTTTACTTAGAAGCAGATTGAGCCCAGATGGATATCAAGTACGTTTAATATGGTCATATCAGAATAAAAAATGGGATATGCAATTCCCTGGTTCGTTTGATGTGTGTGAGACATATGACTTGTGTGGTCCAAATAATATTTGTTTAGTTGGACCAACTAAACATTGTGAGTGCTTGAGAGGATTCAAATCCAACTTTACAGATTCAGCTTGTGCTAGAACTACTCCTCTAGGCTGTGATAAGGGAGACACATTTCAGAAGTACGAGAGAATGAAATTGCCAGATACATCTTCATCTTGGTATGATGAGACAGTTAGTCTTCAGGAATGTGAGAAATTGTGTTTGAGCAATTGCTCTTGTACTGCATATGCTCAATTGAATATTAGTGGCACGGGAAGTGGTTGCTTGCTTTGGTTTTTTAATATTGTTGACATGAGAGCACTTTCAAAAGGTGGACAAGATTTTTATCTACGAGTGACTTCAGTTGCAGCATCAGAGTTACAAGGTATTGTTTATTTTCCCATTATCTCTTCAATCAATCTATTACTTTTTCATACTAACTTGTCATTCTGGTAGTGGTACTTGAGGCTTCTTAAGCAAAATGCTAAAATGTAGAAAAAACACCTTTTTTTTTTTCAAAAGAGAAATGTTATTCGTATCCTAAATTATATAACTAGGAGAAAGAAACAGAAAAATAGAAGTAATAAATTATGTGATATAGAGATAGATAAAAAAAAATATTGTGTAAATTATTATATGAATAACATTCTTTTTTGAGAAATGCACAAAAAAAATATAAATTTACAGCAAAAAAATGTCATTCTTTTATTGTTAAAAAAAATGATTGATCTAGGGCTTAAGACACACCTAGTTATACTTCAAGCCGCATCTAGTCCAAATAGAGTCATACTCAAACTACGTACAAGTTTTCAAAAGCAAATTCCTTTGAATAAGTAGCTAATTGTATCATACATGTTCTAGAGTAGGTTTGACAAAATTAAGTATGTCTTAGAGATTTTATATCAATTAATAATAATATGAACCAAAAAGATGTATATAAATAATCAAGGGTTAATTTTTGAGGTTGAGTTAAGCTCAAATTCAAATTAAGGAATTAAAAATGATTTGTGATATGTTTAAATTTAACTGATTTTTCTTTTTAATTTCCAAGTAGCATTGTTCCTTACTTAAACTAAGAAAGTGGTGCCTATTGAATGTTAGCCCTTCTTCTCATACTCTGAACTCTTTCATTTATCCATTTCTTCCCTAAATTATTTCGAAATTCACAGTCCTATCTTCTATAATTCCATTATAAAATACTCTGCACTCTTTCATTTATCCATTTCTGGCATTTATAAGCTCTACCAGATGTTCTATATGCTACTTTTTCTGTTTTTAATTGTATTAATTTCTTGTGTATGCTCCAACATGTGACTCTTCTGAGTTAATTATTACTTGATTATGTTCTTAATATTTCAGATCACCGCTTCAAAAGGAAGAAGATAGCAGGAATTGCTATTGGTTGTTCTTGTGCTATTTTCCTCGTTGCTATTGCAGTATTAGGATTGAAATGTTGGATTAGGGGGGAGAAAATCAAGCACAGAGGTGAACTCCTGATAATTAAATATTGAAACTTTTCTCGTATATTTTACTTTTAAAAGGTCATTTATGAAATGTGATAACAGAAGATCTGAAAATATTTGTGTGCATTGCAGAAACAAATTATTGGAAGAACAAGAGTAAGAATGGTGACATTGATTTACCAATATTTGACTTCATGTTAATTTCCGATGCCACAAATAACTTCTCAGAGAGAAACAAATTGGGACAAGGTGGCTTTGGACCAGTGTACAAGGTATGAAAATTAAACTTAACTCAGGAATTCTTCTTCATGCAAATAATTTTAATATTTCCAAAATTTATATAATGTTAGGGCATATTACTAGATGGGCAAGAGATTGCAGTTAAGAGGCTTTCTAAAACTTCTAGACAAGGTTTGGATGAGTTCAAAAATGAAGTCATGTTGATTGCAAAACTTCAACACCGCAATCTTGTAAAGCTTCTTGGTTGTTCCATTCAACAAGATGAGAAGTTGTTGATTTATGAATTCATGTCAAATAGAAGTTTGGACTACTTTATTTTTGGTTGGTGCTTTGTTAGAATCTAATCCTCCCAATTTTTTAAAAATTCTATCAAATAGTTGTCATGCTTACTTGGTAGTGATTTTTCTCAGATTCAAAAAGATGCACATTATTAGGTTGGGCTAAACGATTTGAAATTATCCGAGGAATTGCTCGAGGACTTCTTTATCTTCACCAAGACTCTAGACTAAAGATCATTCACAGAGACCTTAAGACAAGTAATGTTCTTCTTGATAGTAATATGAACCCAAAAATATCAGATTTTGGTATGGCTAGGGCATTTGGACTAGATCAAGATGAAGCAAACACAAATAGAGTGATGGGAACATAGTAAGTTTTATATAGTTGTTTTCTCTTTCCCCTTTTACAACTGTTTCTAGCTTATCATCTCGTCTCTTGTTTTTCTGTACAGTGGTTATATGCCTCCTGAATATGCTGTACATGGATCTTTTTCAGTCAAATCTGATGTCTTTAGCTTTGGTGTAATTGTGTTGGAGATAATCAGTGGGAGGAAGAATAGGGGATTTTGTGAACCACACCATCACCTAAATCTTCTTGGACATGTGAGTTGTGAATAATGATGTTTTGTTCCTTGAAACAATGAGCATTGTTTAGTAGTTTCCAATATGGAAAATGAACTCAATAGTTGCACTAAATAATGTTTTTCATGTAATTTTCAGGCATGGAAACTATGGATCGAGAAAAAGCCAATGAAACTTGTGGATGAGTCAGTGGATGATCCAATTGTTCCATCTGAAATATTTAGATATATTCATATTGGTTTGTTATGTGTACAACACAAACCAGAGGATAGGCCAGACATGTCTTCAGTAGTTTTAATGTTGAATGGTGAAAAGATATTGCCTGAGCCAAGTCAACCTGGGTTCTACACAGATAATTCAACCACCACAGATTCTTCTTCAAGAAATTGTGAAGCGTATTCACTCAATGAAATGTCTAACACATTGGAGGCAAGATAAAGAAAGCTGAAATGGTACAGAAAATACAAAAGTTTCCTACATCCAATCCCAACAAGTACTACTATATGTGTGGAAGAAATAGAATTGTCCCTAAAATCTGATTTTTCTTATCCAACCTATGACTTGAATCAAATCCCTCTTTCTTCAAAAATAATTGTCAGTTCCTGAAAATTCTTCCAAGCTAAATTCAAGACCTCATCCTGAACCATGGGTTGACAGTGAAATTTGTTGAAGGATTTTTTTTTTTTTTTTTTTTTTTTTTT